CCTCCCCCCCTCCCCCCGCCACCAAAGAAACTACCACTGTACCCCCTCAGCGATACTATGAATGATACTTTCTGGCACGGATCCCCACTTCATTTTTGATCCCATGCCCAGACCTGGTTTATCAAACGGCCCCAAAATTCGGGCCAGCTTGCTCCCAAGTAGCACCAGGCTTGTCTAGGGTCCTGGGAACAATCAGCCTGCTTAGGTAGAAACAAAATGTGAACTCCTCTGAAATGCTGCCCTTCTCTGTTCTTATCTCTGGGACTTAGAATTTTCAAACCACTGGTCCTGGTCACACTTTGTGCAAGCAACCACATGTTTGTGGGAATGATGGGTTTTAACGTGCTCACAGGTGCTTGCAGAAGACAGTCAGTCTCCCGAGGCCAACAGGGTAACCGTCATTAAGATATACTCACCCTCCTCCATTTCGGTGCCATTGATCCCTTGTTAGGAGCAGCAGGACACATGACATCCAGCATCCCCAGTTTTCATATTTGTCAGCTCCCCCTACCCTGAGACTTGCCTCCTCGGCCTCAGAAAACGCTACCTTAACAGAACCCAAGGCAAGGATGTCTCAGCCTCTGAACAGTACGTTTGCTCAGGTTCTTAACTTGAAAGTCTCCCTAATACCAACATTCTGTGATAGTTTGTCCCTTGCACTAGATACACTTTAACCACAACAGAGCCTCAGTAAAGTCTGCTGCACCTGCCCCCCTCACTGCTAATGTTGCTTCCTCTTTAACCACAAAGCATAAATGTTGCAGTAGCCCTCGGTTCAAATTCAACGGTTATCTATAACCTGCCTAAATGGTGAAATCATGGAGGTCAGCGGTTTCCTCAGCATGGGACTAACCAGTCTGTCTGTGCGACTTTGTTTCTTTAACACTCACTAGAAAATCCGATCTTAAAACATTTGAGTTCTAAACATGTAAAATGTGACAGCCTACAATTTTGTAGGCAGCAAAGTCATGGCTGCTATTTATAAATGGAACTTCTATCAAAATAAGTAACTGTTTATAAAATTCAGTTTTTGTAGGATTTTCCAAGGAAAAGTCACCTTGGCTGAATGTTTCTCACTAAACTTTACAGAAGTGGTTCATATTCGGTACTGTTTTTAATCACTTTTTTAATATAAGGACAGAATATTTGCAAGGAAGCCAAAGTTTGTTAATAATTTTTATAAGACTAAAATAACATAAATCTGAAGGTAACTGTGGTCATATTCAGTTGAAGGAGGAAAAAAATTGACAATTGTAGCACTATATTGATCCAAAAAAAGTTGTTTTATACATGATCTGTTGTAATTTCTATGGGTATGTGTATCTTTCAGCATTGATAACTTTGCCATTTACAGAGAGTAAGTAGTGAAAGTAAGATCACCGCATTTACTGACTTCTCTAAGTCTGATTGAAGATAAACCTCCCTCAGTTGAAAATAAACCTGTATCTTGGCTAGTGGCTGCTCTGTGTCCATGAACTTAACCTCTACTTTAGTGCTCAGTAGGATTCTAGCCACGGTTTCTATTGCTTCCTTAGAAAAGAGTTAATAGCCAATCAGTTTGTGTTTGTATTTCCATTTCTGTGTAAGCTGGTAATTGAATAGTCAAACAAACTCTACTTTGAAAGAGCCCCAACAGTTTAATGACCCCCTTTGTAAATGAGAAATGATTCTTGTTATATTAATAACTCTATAAATTATATGCTGGATTAATTGCCTTAGGTTGATAGCTGGAGGAATTGTTTTAGACAATACTAAAGGTGTGAATTTATATCTGAGTTTTATTTTCAGTCTTGCTAAATAAAACAAGTCTTTGTATTTACTTTTTATTTTTTTTAACGTTTATTCATTTTTGAGAGAGACAGAGCACAAGCAGAGGAGGGGAAGAAGAGAGGGAGACACAGAATCCGAGGCAGGCTCCAGGCTCTGAGCTGTCAGCACAGAGCCCGACGTGGGGCTCAAACCCACAGTGAGATCATGACCTGAGCTGAAGTCAGACGCTTAACTGACTGAGCCACCCAGCTGCCCCTGTATTTACTTCTTTGTTAAAGTGAAATTCAGCAATAGCTCATGTTAGGATAGGTGATATAAAGAAATAAAACTAGTGGGGCACCTGGGTGGCTCAATAGGTTGAGAATCTGAGTCTTGATTTTGGCTCAGGTCATGACCCCAGATTCATGATGGGATCAAGGCCCTTCTGGCTCTGCTGAGCATGGAGCCTGCTTAGGATTCATATTCTCTCTCTCTCTCTCTCTCTCTCTCTCTCTCTCTCTCTCT